ATTTCAGCAGCTGACCAGTCGAAAACGTCTAAATTATTTAACAAAAAGCTTACCAATTCAGATCGCAATGGTTCCTTCAGGTGGGCTCTTATCTAGAGTACTTTTTTAGGTTTGGCTTTAGAGACCTGTACCGTTGTTGTTTCTTCAATTGGGTAAGCTCTTTCTTCTGTCTTCTTCGGTGGTGGCTCCAAGTCTATATCAACTATCATTTTGCCTTTGACTTTTAATGAAGCCACATAACATTTTCAGGATTCCAATTGGTCGCCTCGTAACACTCCTACCCCCGTATCTATCAGAAATTTCAGCGTGAGGTGGTATGTTGAGACCACAGCTCGTAGCACATGTAGTATTAGTCATCCCAGGATTGCGTTGTATGGTTATGCAACAGCCACTACTAGAAAATCATGTTCAAAACATATTGTGTGTGGTGGCAAGCCCGCCTCAACAAGCAGTTTGATCCTGCCAATCGGGTGAACTACCTTGCCACTGAGTCCTACTAAGGGTACGTCGGCAGGCTACAGGTCGCCTTTGCTAAGTTCCATCATGTTAAAAGCTTTTGGAAATAAAATATCTGTTGAGTTGCCTGAGTCCACCAAGATCCTCTTCACCTTGAAATCATTGATGAGTAGTTTCACCACTAGGGCGTCATCATGGGGGTACTGGACCGCGCACATATCATCTTCTGTAAAATAAATGATTTCCTTCTTTCGTTGGTGCTTACATGGTTGGCTGTCTTCTTGCTTCAATTCTCGCACTATGTTCTTCCCGGCTAACATGGTACAACATGCTATTATTAAGCCCCCAACAATTACATTTATGGTCCCTTGGACCTGCCTTTCTTGTGTTTGCTTACTCTGCGTAGTTTGATCCTACTGCCTGGTGTCTTGAGGTGCTTCCTTGTTGGTTCCCGCTTCAAGCTGTCGTTCATCCTTGATGAAACGTTTCAGGTAACCTCATTTGATGAGGTCTTTTATCTCGTTCTTTAAATTCCAAAAATGCTCAGTTTCATGTGTGAAATCCTTGTGAAAATGACTATTTATTTAGGTTCCGGGTGTTGGGGTCTCTCCTCATGTTGGGAAGCCACTTTACATAATCATTGGACTGAATTTGCATTAGGATCTCCTTCCTCCTAGTGTATGTCGATGGCGTTGCTACTCGTTGTACTGCCCTCCTAACCGGCGACCTGCTTTTTTGGCATGGCGAGCTGCTACATCTTCTCCTTGGGGACTTGCTCTTTCTAGGCGACTTGCTCCTTCGCCTGGTTCTGCTGGTGCTTGCTTCTTCATCAACTCGCTTCCTTTTGGTTGTCTCAGACTCTATGCCCCTTGCTTCTTTAGCTCTAATGAAATCATTGGCTACTTCAAGGAATTTTTCCATGGTAGTCGGGGGACACAATTCAATTTTCCACTTCAACTCTCAGTGTTTTACTCCTTTCTTGGCCGCAATAAGCTGTACATAGGGATCCGGTTTTGAAATATGCAGTCGTTCCATGTTGAATTGTCGAATGTAGTCCCTGAGTGTCTCATTGGGCTTCTGTGTGATGTTGAATAGACATGTAGTTGATTTCGAATGCAACTTGTTGGTGACAAACTGATTTATAAAGAGTATGGAAAATTGGTCCCAGTTCTTTATAGACCTTGAGGCCAACCTTGAATACGATAGCCATTCTTCTTCCTTCAAAGTGGTGGGAAACGCAATGCACATACTGGCGTCATTCTCTCCATGGAGGAGCATAAGGGCTTGAAAGCTATTTGATGTTCTACAGGGTTTGTTTTTCCTCGGTAGGATTCAAGGGCGGGGACCCGAAAGTTTTTGGGTCGTGGTGCTTTAAGGATTTCGGGTGCTAGGGGAGTCTCACGAGTCAAGCTATGTTGTTTTGAGAGGGAGACCAATTTACCAGTTGGAATGTTGCATTCTCCAGGTGGTATCATACTTTTGGCCCAGGCGAGCTATACTTTCTTTCCTGCTCGGTGTGTCGATTTTTTCTTCTTGGTATACTTGGTGGAACTAGCTACATTGGACCCGACCAGTGCATCTGCTTGACTCTCTACTAGGACTTGTTCATTTCGAAACGCCACTTCTTCTTTATCTGGGACCTGAATTTGGCTTCGCACTCGTTGAGGGGGTGGGTTTTCACGATTGGAGTTATGACAAGGAGTTGTCGGCTGTTGCAAGGTTGACTTTCTCGCAGTATTTGCTGATTGTCCTGCTGAACTGGTTGATCTGGTATTGCGGAATGCGTTTGTCGATATTGTTGTTGCTAGTGCTATTGTTGTTGCTGCTGAAGAGGTTGCTGTTGTTGCCCAAAAATGAATACAAATCTATTTTACCACGTTTGCATTTGCTTTGTCATGTTGTGTACGCATCGTACCAAATCATTAAACTGTTGTACATCAACAACTGCGGGAGGTGCCACTGGAGGTAGTGGTGGAGTGTTCACATTGTTCTGAGCATCGACTGGTGGTAAAAGAACGTCGATTTGGCCTATCGTCATCATTGGCATTTGGCCATTGACGGTGTTGGTAGAAGGGTTGTCGGAAGATGCCATTGAAAGGTTTCTTTGAGGAAAATGAGAGAGATAAATAGATGAATGAAAGAAAACACAGGCTTTTTGTTGCGCTTCCCACATAGAACACCAATTGATGAAGCACAAAATATGCCCACCAATAGATAAAGCACAAAATCTGTTCATTCCCTCATGTCTGGTGAGGTGGCTCGGACTAGGTTCAATCTGTGTAAGCCGAGCTGTTGTGTCGAGCTGTGAAGCTGAGTTGAGAGTTGCTGAAATGAAAGAGAGGTTAGAGTGCTTGGGTAAATTTTACCCAGGAGGATACTCCGATGCTTAAGTTAGTGAGTAATTCTCCTAGAGAAATTGAGAGAGAGAGTGAGAGCTTATGTGCGCATACTTTTTAGAGTGTCCCCGGGTTCTTTTTATAGTTATTAGGTGTCTACGTGTCATTGATCAGCGTCTTTGAGTTTTTTGCAGAGCTGTTTCCGCAATTTGAGGGAGTGCTGGGCTGTTAGTTACTAAATTTGCACGGTAGTTACAAGTTGCTTGTCGGGTCATGTGGTGCACGGTTTGGTGAGTTGTCCCTATAGTTTCGGTAATGGTACTAAACCGGATATGCTGTGCGGGACGGTTTCGGGCAAGCTGTTGTTGTTGGTGGGCTGAGCTCTCCTTAGCTCGGCCACACACCTATTATAAGTTGCCATGTGTTGAACTGGCGAGCTATCTTGTTGAGTTGGACGCTATGTTACTAACAACGTCCACGTGTCCACCATCAAGTGGGTTGACCAAAATGCCCCTCATCAGATATAAACCCCAATTCGCCCCTTTTAACTAATCTCATTAAACCCAGTTCGAATTGGGCTTTAGGTCCATTAAGCTTTCAGGCTCACTTCCTTTTAATTACTGGCTAGTTTGGCTCTTTTTATATAGTGTGGGACCCTAACATTGATCTTCACAAAAGTCATATGGGTTCAACCTAGCCTCTGTTACAAGGCCTGGCCAAACTCATTGTTGATGACAGTGAACCCTTGAGCCCATCAGTGTGGGCTCTTAGGAGGTCCAACATTTACACTAAATGGGCCCTGGGTGCAGCCACCTTATGAAGGCCTAAGGACTATGGACTTAAGTGATCCCATCAGCTAAAAGCTCTAAATGGTCTTATACTTAACCTCTCAGCCCCTAATGATCAAACACTGCCCGACAAGAGAGGACCTCTTCCTCTGCTACAAGGTACAATGTTGTACTCTCTACTCACATGGATCTTGGGAATTAAAACATTTTGCAAACATTTTGTGAAAACATAATATATATTTATATCTCTATATAAATATATTTTGCAAAGCAAATTTAAACATGTTTGAAATCAATTGTTGATAGTTTAGGTTTCCATCAGATAGAGTGCATTCCCCGATCATTCACTTTATCCGATAAAGGGGCTAATTCTGTCACTATGTTCACCCACTCAGGTGAATTCTCAGACTGCCCTAACATACCCAGGTTTTGACCCCAACTAAGGATATCACTAATTGGCATATCAAAAACAGCCTAATCCAACACCTAGTGCAATACTATAATCGCGTCTAGGGGTTAGGTGTAAATTTTCAGTTTTGCCCATCTGTCTCCAAGGTCCAGGGCATAACTGGAAAATGGTCCGGTTCAAGGTTTCAAGCAAACCCACACTATATGTTCTTTAGATCTCACCCTGGCAGCTGAGACAAGCCACCCCAACCGGTTTGGCAGCACATTAGTGCCAGTCTTGGTAGGATAAACCTCCCTAGGTCTATCCAACGACTATAAAAATTCTAAACTAACACGAATCTCCTAAGTGTCCATTTTAAGGGTATAACATAGAAACACATCATAATAACATGAATCAATTATGTATTTTATTCATTTACAATAAATATAAAAAAGTATGGAGCTAAGAACATACACTATTTAACACATAGAATTATGGGTGAAACCCAAATTAGTGGTAAAAAAACCTTCCTCAACCGAGACAGGGCGGGGTCAAATTGCCATCTGCAATCGGGATTGGAAAGGGGTAAAAGTGAACCCTAGCTCTAATCCGATTATCAACTCAACCGGGGTTGGGTTCGGACTTACCCGCCCAAGTTGAAAACCCACTAGGCTACGAACGTCAGCCTAAACTAAAAAGAACGCAAGACACGTAAGACCTTACACTTTCTTTGGAGTTCCCGGCCCGTGGTCTTACATCAGAAAATTCCAAGGAGACACGGCGTTGGAAGTTGGTGCAAACAACTAGTCTGTTAGTGGACCAGCATTAGCATGTCGTCTAACAAGATTCGGGTGTTCGGACTTTGGATTCAACTACCGGGCAAGTTCTCATTTAAAGGACCCGGAGCCGACCACGTGGCCTTGTGGGAGAAGTGTGTGGTGCACAATATGCCAATCACGCGGCTCCCTTGGCTGAGCTGCTGAATTATGATCAACACGCAACTGTCTTCGTCACTCACCGGCTCAAAATAGAAAAACACGATTTTCCTTCCTTTCCTCACGAACGTCTCAAATTTCCAGCCAACGAAACGACGAAAACAGTAGGGCTCTCGTGGCTTATTCGGTGAAAACGCGCGCTCATTGATGACTGATGAGCTACCACAAACCACAAGGAGCCAAAAGGCCCAAAACAACGCAGCCAACTGTATACACTATACAGATCAAAATATTCTTAATTTTTTTTTTCATCTTTCTGGTTATATTTTGGAGACTGATTTGAACTTAGGTTTCAGGAGCGAGAGATTCTTTTGCTTGGATTGGTTTGAAAGTTCAGTATCCATTCTTCTTTTCTTGATTGGATTTGGATAGGTTGTAGTTATTATTATCAAATTCAGCGCAGGTGAAATGCTGAGATCTATGCGTGATCGAGAACTGTTAGGGTTAGCTAAATCCTTGAAACGGTCCTAGGGAGCAGATTGAAATTTATACATGTTTAAGAGATTCTGAGAATCTGAGGTTTCCATTGGTTGATCTTATTTGAACTTTCTACAGGCTCTTGATTGATGGGGTAAATGGAAGGAAGCTAAAGAAATGTGCGGATCGATTCTGGGGAAGGTCAGAACTCAGAAGCTTCACTTTGCAGATTTGTTGTTTTTTAATGGTTTTCTGCTAACTCTGGTGTCGAATAATGGAGATTAGAGAGGTCGTAGGCGGAAAAAAAATTTTGAATAATTTGAAAAGAATGTATAAAATATATTGGCGCTCTGCGGTAGTTTTGGCGAATAGATAAGAATAAAAAAGGGTTCCACCAAAAAGGTTCAAAGCCTAAACCCAAAAGAAAAAAAAAAGGTTTGCGACTGTTTACTTCATTACTTGATATGATTCTGGACATGAGAAGCCTTGTCCACAAGTTGCTGATTTTACCACTCTGTGTTGTCTTTATCGAAGCTTGAGGACGTGGTTGCGCCACGTACATGTCTGGAATAAAATGGGTAATGTAAGGGCGAAGATAGCTGTGGGGAATGGCTCACAGTCTCCGACTGGAGAAACGGGACAATAAAGTAATTAAGCAACAGGAAAGGATTCAAAAATTATTTTGGAGAAATATTATTTTATTTTCAGTTTTTTCTTTTTTTTTCGCACGCCGTGTCTGGCTTTTATGTGGAAGAGATTTTTTGGAAGCTCGAAGAAGAAAAGAAGGAAAAGTTTCGAGTTTTGTGAGGCTGAGAGCTTCGTCGGGAAAAGGTCGAATGTAATCAAAGCTTGGATGTATGGTTCAGTTCTCAGGTTGGAGCCACAGTAACTGCAGATCATCCCACGGTACCGCCTCCCTTCCTCCCTATAATCTATATGCGGCTTTATGTCTATCTGGCCTTCCAACTCTTTGTATGTTTGTATCTTAATTTGTGTAGCTTGCTTGGTATAAGCACTTCATCCGGGTAGTTTGATTTCTTTGTTGTTTGCTTGATTTGAATCAATTTTCTTTTGTTAGTGGTGGAAATGGGCTCTTCTGATGGTGGGTGGGTTCTTGCCCTGGTAGGCGTTTACGTTGTTTTTGCCGAGAAATGAATACATGCTTCAAGTTTATGCCTGAAGTGTATCTTTTGTGTGTCAGCAGGTTGTGGTGTTTGTGTTGAGAAACTAGGGTGGTGTGACATGGTGCTTTTCTTTGAGTAAATATAAGCTGTCGGTTTGAGTCTGAACTGGGCTTTCGTCGTTTCGGTTCACAATGGTGACTGCAGAAGTTAGAGAGTCTGGTAGAAATCCGAGCATTATTATTGCTGCTATACGTGGATGGTGATGGAGGGTTCATCCGAGTCTGGTTGGGAGAAAACTGATAGTTCTAGGGAATTGAATACTTGTGCCGTCTCCAGCGGGAGCCTTGGGTTGTTTAGTGGTAGCAGGCTCCGTTTCTCGGGCGATGCATCCAACAATGTCAAGTATATGCCAGGGGGAAAGGAGAGAGACCGGGTGCTGCTGACTCGCACCAATCACCTTGACAATCAAGTTGGCTCTTCTGGGGTGTGTGGGCGTGCCGTGGCAGTGGACTCAATTGTTCATCCCCTAGAGCGGGGTGAGGTTAGTCTGAGGCACTGGTTGGACAATCCTGAACGATCTGTTGACCTCTTGGAGTGCTTGCACATATTCAGGCAAATTGTGGAGACTGTGAATCTGGCACACTCACAAGGCATTGTTGTTCATAATGTGCGGCCTTCCTGCTTTGTCATGTCCTCGTACAATCGTGTCTCCTTCATTGAGTCTGCCTCGTGTTCAAGCTCGGGTTCTGATTCATTTGACGATACTTTTAACAGCCAAACTGTAGGGGGTTGGTGCTCGAGCTCACCATTAACCCAGGAGTTGAACTGTCAGATAGGCAGGGTAGGCAGTGGAGATTCCATTATGGAGGTTTCACAAGAAGGTACTTCCCAAAGGGCGTCGGAAACAAGTTGTTTGCGGTCAAGTTCAGCCTATGCTACACGTTTATCATCAATAGAAGAGAGAGAAGAAAATAAAATAGAGGATAACAAGAAATTTGAAAACGCTACGGAACATAAGAAAACGTTCCCCCTGAAGCAGATATTACTTGTGGAGAGCAATTGGTACACTAGTCCTGAAGAGGTTGCTGGTGCTCCAAGTTCCTTTGCTTCAGATATTTACCGTTTAGGGGTTCTTCTATTCGAGGTTTGTATCAAATAAATCTTCGTTTTTAGCTTCTTAATTTACGTTAGGAACTTTCTGGACCTTTTTTCTTTTAAACCAATATTATTTATTTATTTATTTATCAGCAGTTGTTCTGCACGTTTAGCTCCATGGAAGAAAAGCTCAGAACAATGTCCAATCTGAGGCATCGAGTTCTGCCTCCTCAATTGCTGTTGAAATATCCAAAGGAAGCTTCATTTTGCCTGTGGTTATTGCATCCTCAGCCAAGTCCTAGACCAAAAATGAGGTAACACTTGTATATTCATTGCATTTAAGCTTGAGATTGCTATAGTATCCTTAAATCCTATTTAAGTCTGTTATCAATGCCTTTCATCAGTATAATACATCCTCTAATAATAAATATTCATGGTGGGAAGAGAGTTTACTAATTGCTTAAAAAATTGTTGTATGACTTTGCTGTGTAGGGATTACATTTTCTTATAGATGTATATATTAGACTAACATTGAAAATGTTAGGCGCTTTTTGTACTGGATATCCATTAGTTACTAAAAAAAAGAATGATCTAACTTCAAGACACTGACCTTGAATTCAACATGAAAGCTATGGGACAAAGGACCTTAACCTTTGGCTCATCCAAACTACTTGAACTCAAAATCAATAGGAGTAAAAACCAGGAAAAGCTTATGTTTGTTGCAACTTGAGGACTGATAAAAAAATAAGGATGAAAGTTGGGAGCATTAGGCCAGATGGAATCAGCGAATTTTCCTTTTTTCTTTTTTACCTCTTTTGAATAGGATTGGGGAAGGCAATATGCATGAGAGAGTGTTTTGTTCTTGTATAGTGTCAGCTTAAAGAAACTGAAGGCTAAGTTTTAAGGATTCCCTATACACTTAATTAATATTATTTCCTTGTCTTTTTCTGTGTGTGTGAACATTACACTTTTAATATCTAATGTTATGTAAAATTCTTTAGAACATCTCTCTTAGTAGATATTATGGAATACTAATTGTAAACCATGGAGCCAAGGTGTTTCTTCAAAATTTTATTAGGTAAAGTTTTGTGCTTATAAAATTTTAATTATCAGGAAGCTACCTATGTAAGATATTTCCTGTCTTGAGAATATTGTAGTACCTACAGCATTGTAGATATGGATGTACTAAAAAAATTCTATTTTTGGTAGATCTCGATATTAAAATTTTTTGGGTCATCCTTGGATTGTGGTTTTATTAGAAACTTATTTCCTTTTAAAATTCATACTGGCATGCAATGCCGTGGTGAATTCTGTGCGGCTGATAGGCCAAGTCAACTATTGATTTCTGTCTTAGTAGTCTGAGGTCTTGGGAGAGGTAGACTGGATGCAGGACTAACCTTTGATATTTTATTGGATGATGTGGTGACTCAGACTGAAACCTCATTCTTATGTTTGTCAGACTGAGATTTTACCATTACACTAAGAAGTATCTCCCTTATACAAAAAGTAAATGGCTCATGTGCAGCATATATGATTATTCATCCAGAGCAATGTTTTAAAAACTGACCCGGAGACCGAACTGTTTTTGCCTCCAGGTTGTGGGTCACCGGTTCGACCGGCTGGGTCGAACGGTTCAGACTGTGCCACATCAGCACATATATGTATTAAGTATATATATATATATATATATATATATATACACAATTGCACATATATATGTGTGTGTATATGTATAAATATATATTTTAGCAATAAATAATGTATAAATATGTTTTAGATATGTTATATGTATTATTTTATATTTTTTAGTTCAGTTTTTAATTTTTTTATTTATAAAAATATAATAAATTGCAATTTGAGGCCAAAAAAGGTTTTTTTTTTTCATGAAAATAGTGGGGCAAGGTGCCTACGGCTCCTTGGGATGCATAAATCTCGAAAAGTTACCCAAAATAAAAAAAACCCCAATCGGACATTGGAGTGCCAAGTTATGGCCTCCGAAAGTTTGCATGCATCGAGTGTGCAACTTGTGACTCAGTCACTGGTTTGAACATGTCAATGGTCGAACCGGATGGGCCAAATGGTTCTTGACCAAGTCAACGGTTTTGACCATCTGGTGGGTGACGGTTTGAAAGGTTCGACTGGCTGGGTCAATGACAAGTTGAAAACATTGATCCAGAGGACTCAAAAGTAATGCTGCTCCAATTATTAGAAGGGTGATAGAAGTTTAGGCCTTGAATTCTTCTAGGATGGAAGACTAGAAGTTGGTGACACACAATACCTTTTCCAACAGCCACCCGGGTATATTTTCTGATTAGATATTTTTCTATTCTTTCCTTCTATATGCACCAGCATATTGCAAAAGGCTTAAGCTTCCATAAATTATTGCCTTTCTTTCTAAACCTCTTTTGCTGTGTTTGGTTTGTTAGAAAATTTCATATTAAGAACTTTCTCTTAACTTTCTGGTTTATTTTCTATAAAATGAAACACAGTCTTGGAGGTCTAGCATCAACATTGTGCCCGGGATGATCCATAACCCGCTTTTGGCAAAATAATTTGCACTCTAGACTACCAGTCAATTCATAATTAGTGGTGGTAGGGTTTCCTTGTATTGATTAGGTACCTTTTTGGTGTTACTATCATTAAGCAATAAGAAACCCTGTTGCACTTGGGAGTATCTATTCTTAAGATGGATGTGAAGGTAGTAGCTGTTTCAAAGCTAAGGATCCTGTTGTGTTTCGGAGTATCTGTTCTCATTTTCTGTGATTTTTATCTTTTTTAACTTAGGTTTTATGCTTAATATGGTTATTAGAAAGTACAAACCAAGAAAGAGGATGAGGGCTTTTTACAGATTTTTGAGAGTTGAAACCAAGAATGGTAACACTTATAGCCTTATAGGTTTGAGGAGTTTTAATACAAATATAGCAGGAAATAAGGAATTTCATGGATATATATATATATATCTTTGAGTCAAAATTGGTCATTTTGTTTTCTCTTTTTGGGATATGCAATTCTTGAATCAGTAGGATAGCTTGGGGATGAGGAAAATGAGGGAAAATAAATCAGTGGCTGGTAACTATGGCTAGATTGATGAATATAGGTGAGTAAAAATATGAGTAATAAACAGTCCTTATAGCCTTAGTTGGATTATCATAATGTAGATGTGTTTGATGGCTCATTTACATTCTGGAAGATGGTTTGTAGTTATTGAATTTATATTTTCTACTATAGTGCATTGCTCAAACTTACAATCCGTTCCCATTGTTTGTATTTTCAATTTTGAGAAGTTACAGATATCACAGTTGGGAAATTTTGCAAGGAATTCAGAGACATGCCAGTAAAATTTTCAGTTAAAGAAAAAAATTCCAAGAAACATAAATTTTTCTTAGTGGATTGTTAGAAGATTAGAAGAAAGATAAAATGTATGTAATGACAATTTTAGGACCCAAATTACCATTTTTATGAGTGGTTTTTTGATCAGTAATTACCATTTTTTATGACTTGGGATCCAAATACCATTAGTAGTCAAGTGTGCATAAATGTATTTATCCAAATGGGGTGTACTAGCCTTTGGATTAACATATAAGGTCATTACAATATTTGTCAAGGAAACATTTAGGTGACAAGGCACTCCTGGAGGGTTGCCTTGTCTAAGTGCCTGGCTATTTTGTACATGGCACTGTAAAATATTTTATACTCTTCTATTTTTTTGAGATTATAATAATAAAATAGACATCATTACACAAAATTATTCATTTTGTGGGTTTATATTCTAGTTTCTTTTTATCATTTTCTTGTTTTCTTGGGTTCAATCAATATAGATGTTGGAGTATGCTGTCTTGAACCCTTAAAGTCTTCAAAACCTGAACTGACAAACAAGGAAGAACTTAGAATTTTGTCTCATCAACACATTCCTCTTCTTCTACCTTTTTTTTTTTTTCTTTTCCTAGGCCAAAAGCAGGGGGCTGAGCCCCTATATTTTCTGAAATTTCTTTCTTTCTTCTTTTTCTTCTCCAGAATATGTTGATTTTCTATGTTTTAATATGAAGTCTACTTTTTTATGAGGGTTACCAGTAGTTACTAGTAAAAGATGATTGCTCGTTGCTATGGAACCTAGGGAATTATGTTAGCATTCATGGTTTTTTATTCATTTTTTTATGGGTAACAAGAAGCTTTTATTAATTACAAAAAAATTGCTATGCACAACTTATGTTTAAGCCAACTACTAGCAGTAGCTAGAACAGATAAAACTTTCTTACATTGTTTCCTGAAAGGCCCAAATACTGAGGAATGGGGATTTGTATTAAAAAATATCACCTAGGCACCTTGTCACCCTGCCCTTGCCTTGCCACCTTGAAAACTATGGCCATTACCTAAGGTTTTTCCTAGCTATCTGTTTCTTTCTTTCTTTTCTTTTTCTTTTCTTTGTTTTTTTTTTTTTTTTTTGGAGTGGGGGTGGGAGGTTTGAAGCGGATTGGACAGATATGTAGAACAAATTATTCAAAACTATAGGTGCAACTTTGGTCAGGTGGGGTTGGGAATTTGTCAAGTTTTCAATGACTCTGAACCCTAACCTGAGGCCAATGTGGTTGAAATTCTTCAAGTTGGGCAACCTGACTTGCAGCTCTGTTTAAAACCACAGAATAGTAATGACGGCACAAGTCATGTCAAATCCATGGATAATAGAAAAATGCTGGAAGCCAAAGGTTTCCATGAATTTTTACCATGTCCGTACTGCACATTAGATAGAGGTGATACCCAAAATGCTACCTGCTGGGTGCTGGCATTGCTCGTAATAGTACTTTAACTCCAAGCAGTAGAAGTTATACTTTTACAATAGTAACGCTGAAAGTTACCCATGATTTGTTATCTTTTATTGGCTTTGTTATCTTTTTATAGTGTAGATATTTGTTGCAAGACAAAACCTGAAAGTATATGTGCAACTTGCAGCTATTAGTTATTACGGTAACTAGCTTACCAATATATTTTTGTAGATATATTGATTCTATAATTTATATCTATACATTAATGTTTATATAAATGTCAATAAGCATTTAGGAGTTTGCATCTTGGGTATCGACTGACTAGTTAGTGACTAGTTGGTCGCATAGTCATGACCAGTTGATGCATTGATAACATTGCTTTACAACTTACTTTGAACCAATTTTCAAGCACCCATCAATGAAGGAACATCTTGACTTCAATTGATTGATAAGAAAAAAAATATTGACTTCAATTGATGTTACAATAATGGGGTGGGGATGGGTATGTTTATCTTGGACCATGAGTTACCGGGATATTGTTTTACATTGTAGTGGGCTTTGGAGTGTCTTTTTTTGGTTCTTAATTATTATTGTTACTTTTTCTTTATTTTTTTACTGCTCATTGGTCTCTTTTCCTCCTTCGCAGACCTGTTTTTATATGCTAGTTTTTTTTTTTTAAATTTTTTTTCTCTTAATATAGTTTTTCATTATTGATAAAAAATGTTATATAAGATACTTTACTAGCCTTTTGTTTTGGTAAAAGGATTTTATTAATTTGAGCTTCCTTGTAATATTCCACTAGTAAATTTAGTTATTGAAAATAAGGGATTGTGTCGCATCCCACTACTAGATCTATTTCAATCCATAAAGTTAGGAAAAGAAATACACTACTAACCAAATAATGAGGAGAACCATGTTGGCTTCTTAAATCTAGCGCCCTTTCCCCCAAAAAAGAATGGAATACTAGTTTCTCCTTATTAAAGTTGTTAATTTGCCTTTGAAAAAAAAAACAGAAATGGTAATTCATTCTTTAGTAGACAAATCCCCCTCTTAATGAAAGTGCATTTCAACCTTGCCATGCTGTTCTCCCTAACAACAATGATAACAATAGTAAGATTGTAAGAATAAGAACAATAACCCCTTTTCTTAATTTTCTTTTGATCAATAGAAGAAAATTTTATTTAAAATAGAATTAAGACAAAGATTTACAACATGTAGATGGGAATGTTGTTCCTCATTTAGTATGTATTTCTATTCCACTTTACAGCTTAGCCCAAAATAATTGTTGTCTTAGTTATGGGTGGATTCGAGCCGAGCCGAGCCAGGCCGAATGGTATGAGGCTCGAGCCCGGCTCGAGACTGTTCTACAAGGCTCGAGCTCAATTTTGAGAAAAAATGTTTTATAAAAATAAAAATTATATATAAAAATATTTTTATTTGATATTTAAAAAATTAAAAATTATAATAATTAATAATTATAATATTTTTATTATATATATTATTTTCTATAATTATATATATATATATATATATTCGAGCCGGTTCGCGAGCCTCACGAGCCGAGCTTTTCACAAACCGAGCTCGATCAGCTTGTGAAAAGCTTGGCTTGTTGCCACCCCTAGTCTCAATGCCCCTTGTTTTCCAAGAGCACCAGCTAGGCCATTAGCACTCCTGACCCATTGAATTCAGTTTCTACCTCTTTTGCAATCTTTTCCACTTCCCTTTTCTTAATTTTTCTTTTGGATGAAGAAATGCTCATATTTCTTGACTCTTTCAAATTGGCCGCATTTGCATTAATCTAATGGCAAGAACTTCTTCTCCTGTGCCCAATTCTTAATTGAAGGGGTAAGGTGATTGTTGTTTAAAATGTCTATTTTATGTTTGATCTTTAATTCCATTTTTGTTGTGTTTATTCACGAGATGGTTTTAATTTCAGATGTTTTTTAAATTCAATTTTTATTAATTATAGTGTGACAGTAATTAATATATTTTTGGTTGGTAACCAATAACTAGTACTGGTATAAATGTTGATTTCTATTCTATTAAATAATGTCCTGTATAACTTCAACAAATATTTTAAGAACAGATTGGATGGAGTGGTCAAAATTTATGTGTGCATTGATTGAAATGAACTTCAAATTAGATTAGAGATGAAACTCTAGATTGATGGTATATAATGCTGGTCTGTGGGTTGGCGGTGTATGGTTGATTGCGCTTACGATTCTGAACTAATGCTTGCGACTAAATCAAGCTTTTAAGGGTTTTTTAGTAAGTGATAATTCAAAGGGCCTTTACTTTTATTGGTTGAGTGAAGGTTATCATTAAGTTCCAGAAATTCTTGTGTTCAGGGCTTAGTCTCTTCCTTTTTTCTGATTATTTATTACCACTATACTCTCATGTCTTACCAAGACATTAGTTTCATGTATTGCAGCCAAAAAAAATTATATTAGTTTCATGTAGTGAGCTACTAGGAGTTCTTTTAGTTGTCTTGTTTTGTTTTTCATAAAAATAAAAATAGTAATTTAGAAAGGTAACAACTCCATGATTTCCATGTTATCAGTTGGTGAAACTTCTTGGTCCTATTTCCTTACAGTTTGGCGTTGAATTAATTTTTCTTTAAGTTGTTGCACTGGTCGTGTCTTTGAATCATTGTGCTTGGAATGAATAATAACTGTGGCTGTTGGCATATCGCATATGTTCAGCATGTTTCATCACTTATTGTTTTGTAGGAAATGAAATGATAGATACTTACTTGACCTTTTGGTATGATGTATAACAGTGAGGTGTTACAAAGTGAGTTCCTCAATGAACCAAGGTGTAACTTGGAAGACCGCGAAGCAGCAATAAAGCTAAGGGAGGAAATAGAAGAGCATGAGTTGTTGCTGGAGTTTCTTTTGAATATACAGCAAAGGAAACAAGAAGTTGCTAATAGGTTGCATGACACCATTTGTTGTCTGTCTGCTGACATCGAAGAGGTTCTGAAGCAGCAGAAGATTCTAAAGAAAAAAGGAAATTTATATCTAGATTTAAATAGGGATGACCATTCTGCATTAGAGAAGTTGGATGATCCATCATTTCATCTTATAAGAGATGAGGACTCTGCTAATTTAGCATCAAGAAAACGCTTTAGATCAGGAATCCAGATCCCTAATGATGAGGAATTTAGTGAGCCTGTTGATGAGGCTCAGAAGTCAGAGAACCAGGAAAGGCTTTTATCCAGGAGTTCTCGATTGATGAAGAACTTTAAGAAACTGGAATCAGCTTATTTTTCAACAAGATGCAAGCTTATAAAACCAACAGGAAAACCTGTTGCTAGATGTTCACCAATCAGTAGTGGTGGTAGGGGATCTATTGTGATGACAGAAGGAAGTTCTGTAGATAATTTGGCTTCCAAGGAAGGGCATGGTGCAAGTCAAAAGAGTGAATGGATAAGTCCATTTCTTGAGGGCTTATGCAAGTATCTATCCTTCAGCAAGTTAAAAGTTAGAGCAGATTTGAAGCAAGGGGATCTGCTAAATTCTTCCAACCTAGTATGCTCCCTTGGTTTTGATCGTGACAGAGAATTTTTTGCTACAGCTGGTGTAAATAGGAAAATTAAAATATTTGAATGTGACATGATCCTAAATGAAGATCGTGACATTCACTATCCTGTCATTGAGATGGCTAGTAGATCAAAACTCAGCAGTATATGTTGGAATGGCTATATAAAGAACCAGATTGCTTCAAGTGATTTTGAAGGTGTTGTGCAGGTAAGCGAAGTCTTATCCATGTGCCTACCCATCCTGTATATCTATTTATGTGTTCAAATGAGGTTATGGCATTTTCAGTGTGTTCTCTGTTTTGTGTTTTAAATCAATGGCTTCTTCAAAACATTTTCAGGTGTGGGATGTTACAAGAAGCCAAGTATTGATGGAGATGCGGGAGCATGAGAGGCGTGTATGGTCAGTTGACTTTTCACTGGCAGATCCAACGAGGTTGGCTAGCGGAAGTGATGATGGTGCCATTAAACTGTGGAATATTAATCAGGCAATTCTATTTTTGCACTTGGTGGATGTCAGCTTTGAAACTAAACGTACTAAAGTCATCTAATTATGATCACTGTGTTTATTCTATACCAGGATGTATAATAAGTTTGCTTTCCTTACATGGGGTGCTGCTGCAGGTAGGGAGTATTGGTACCATCAAAACAAAGGCAAATGTCTGCAGTGTTCAATTTCCTCCAGATTCTGCACGCTCACTTGCAATTGGTTCAGCAGATCATAGGATCTATTGCTATGATCTTCGAAATACAAGAGTACCACTATGCACATTAATAGGCCACAACAAGACTGTGAGCTATGTGAAGTTTATAGATTCAATGACACTTGTTTCTGCATCCACGGATAATACGCTTAAGCTCTGGGATCTATCAGCATGCACATCTCGGGTCATTGATAGTCCACTCCAAACATTCACAGGACACACAAACATAAAGGTGTGCCATCTTATAAACATTAGGACTTGAGGAAAAAAATAGTACAAAAGTACAATGTCAATGCTTCATGATCTCTTACTCATCAAAAAAAAAAAAAAGGCTTCATGATCTCTTTCCTGTCCATATCTAAATCTATTCTTGGCATGTCTTAAATCTTCTGTTGAGTTTGGGAACATTCCTTTTTTGCTAAACTGGGTGCATTCCTAACGAATTACAGGTTATCCCTGTTTATAATTAGAACATTAATACAAAGGGATTTTTCTTTTTTGGAGCCTTGACCAATAGTAAGGGGTGTTTCCCCTTCATAAAAAATTGGATGTGGTCAAATCACCCCCAGGTTTGGGGGTAGTGGAATTTTCTGGGGATTCAGTTGGCATGATAAAAACATTTTGGTTCTCCTTTGTCTGGGCTTCCCAGAGTAGATGCTTTTGATATATCCCTTCTGTGGGTTGCTTTACCACGCAATGTTGTCCATATTTCTTTAGGCCATCAAGGAATCACCAGTCAACTAATGGCAGCTTGGTATGCTTGGTTTTTGAACCACCATCTACCCACCTATGTTATAGTAACCCATTTGATATTTTGTGAAGACAAAAAGAAAAATAAGAAACAGTGTCATGATCTCAACTTATCATGGGGGGTGGGGGAGCCCAAATCTTAATCTAGGAACCTATTTTGATGTGTGATCTTGGAACTTGGTCATTGTGATGGAACATGGACCTAAAATTAGAATGTGAAGCACTAATTCTTTAGAGTTCTGTGATATCAGTTTACAAAAGTATGTTTATTTGTTGGTTTTATCAATTCTGTATCCATGAATGATTAGTTTTTGCTGATACATATACTGCTTGATCTCAGAATTTTGTAGGCTTATCCGTATCTGATGGGTACATAGTCACAGGCTCAGAAACAAATGAGGTATGCCTATCAACTGAATTATACCTGCAATTTCATTAGAATTTTCCTGTCATACATACTATGTTTTTTTGATCAGCAACACAAATGATTTCATTAATAAAAAATAGGCATGAGTACAACAAGAGGTTGTGAAAAAAGAAGAAAAGCACAGCTATGGAAAAGCTGACCCCACCCAAATATTACAATTGAGTCCTGTGTACCCCTTTCTTAGCTAGATCATCTTCCAAGCTGTCATACATACTATGTTGTGAACCTGGTTTTTCATTTATTTTATTTTTAACTTGCCTGTAAATCAGTACAGATAAAAGGCATGTCTGGAGATGTAACCCGTTGACCAACATAGGTGTCATGTTTTGACATGGATACTGGGTGTCGCTGTGTCAGGCACAGCAAGCTCCAAAACATGGAAACATTTATTTACATGGCTCCTATCTCTAGGAAGAACTAAAAGGGTTTCCTAATCAGGTTGATTGGGGAGCTCCCTTGCACAACCTACACTATTTTCATTGCTTAGGTCTTAATGTTTCATCTTTTTAATTAACAGGTATTCATTTACCACAAAGCTTTTCCTATGCCAGTGCTTTCATTCAAATTTGGCAGTACTGATCCACTGTCGGGGCACGAAGTTGATGACGCCTCACAATTCATTTCCTCTGTGTGTTGGCGTGGCCAGTCATCCACTTTGGTTGCAGCCAATTCCACCGGGAACATCAAACTTTTGGAGATGGTTTAAAATGGTCTATACCTTGAAGTACAAGTAAAATTTTGGAGTTTTGACCGGTATAAGCTATTGATAGAAGGGAAAAATTAAAAAAAAATAAAAGATGACGACGAAGAGAGGAAGCGAGGAGCATCTATAATTAAAACTGAAGATGACATTTAGCAGCCAAGAACAGGGCAGCGTAGAGATTCTAGAGAATACAAGACTGGCATGCAAATTTTGGCGGTTTGTTAACTGAGAATTGACTTGAAAGAATTTGGAATTTGGCGAGGTGTAATTGGGGAGGAAGAGATGGGCGGTTTATGTACATTAATGTAATTCTTCCAAATGTATAATCATATTATAAAGTTGGGTTGGTAATTTAAGTTTTAACTGGGTTTGTTCTGTCTATTGTCCGGTCGATGGATATATTGCAACTCGGGCGGGTTGGATCGGGGATGCCATTCCATGCTTAACTCAAATATCTACATATTGAACATAGTTCTAAATATCGGTACAGGTCGATATGATGGGTGTTCTTCTTATTTTTTTTTCAGTCTTTTTTAGGCTCGTCTATCCCCTGAAACAGGTCAACCACCGCAACCAAGTTTAAAGTGGGTCATTGATATGATATGTATCAGCCAGTAAGTATGTTGTGAAATTTTGATATTTGATATCGAATAGACTCAACGGATGGGCCCTGCTTTTGTTGAGGTTGAATGCCCGTTTGGGAGGGCTTTCACACAGCGTTTCTGGCTTTACAGTGGGTGCTTAAATCTGTTTGGGTGGGCTTTCATACAGGTCAACAACCGCAACCAAGCTTAAAATGGGTCATCGATATGATATGTATCAGCTAATACGTTGTGAAATTTTGATTTTTGATATTGAATAGACTCAATGAATTGGCCCTGCTTTTGTTGGGGATGAATGCCCATTTGGGAGGGGCTTTCACACAGCGTTTCAGGCTTTGCGAGATGGACCCCATCTGGATGGCCTGAGACATATTTGATGAAAACCTGGAAAGCCAAAAATGTCTGTCTGAAAGTCAAAAACATGACTTAATGCTGAAGCTTGTTTAGAGGCTTCTCCAAAGCAGCTGAACCAATTTTTCAGCACTCCCAAACCAGGCCTGATTATACTGAAGTGGACCAGGTGGTGTTTTAAAAGAGGTCGGATTAGCTCCACTTAGATTAGATGGGTGTGTTGGGGACTATGTAACCAATAATAACGCCCCACTTCAGAGATCAAGTTTATATATATGCCCCACACAACCACTTCAATTTCTCATAAGACCCCCATCAAATACAGCTCATATGGATTAATTTTGGAAACTGCTGGGAAGGTAGCACAGGAAGTCAGGAACAAAGAAGTCTGAATGACCCTATGATCGTCCACATGAAATTTCTACTGGGGCTGACCCTTGTGTGTTTTCAGACCCATTTATCAAATATGTTGGTCCTGGGTCGAATTTGTTAAGGCCAACAGCCTACGATGAATCCATTTTGCTCATTAATAGCAATCATGTTTTAACATGTAATGAATGGCTTCCAACATTGTTTTATGGTTTCTTTTCTTCCAGGAGTTGTAGGCTAGGATGATCGATTACTTGACCAGATGTATTGGTTTGGATTGGTCACAAAAATTGGTCACACGGGCAAAGTGGATGGAGAGTCCACTGGCGCCAGTGGACCTGAATAGAGAGTGTCTTGACTTCAAGTTGTCCTGATTAAGGAGACCATTTTCCTCAATTTTAAGGTCCAGAAGGCCCACTTGGAGTTTTATTTCGATCAGAGCTCATCATACAATTTTACGTTGGGTAACCGCATTCCTTGAACCAATCTTCATCAAACTCTTCCAGGAGACATGTGAACTGAAGCTTCTATCACTTAAATAAGCTTGAATAAACGTTTTTTTTTTCAGGAAATAAGCCTGTTTTGAATAAGCTCAAATTTTTACCTTTTTTTTTTCAAGTGATTTTTGAAAATACACTTATTGCATTTCTAGCCTATCCTGGTCCGTTACGTAATATCGAAAATACCTATATTACTCTTGTTACACGCCGGACCGGATTCAATAGGCACAAACATAGGAAGCACATTTGTTGAACATTTTATAAATATTCTGACAACTGTTAAAAGTTGTCTTTAATCATCTTTGGGATAAGTAGACTGCAATCTATCTCAGAAATCTGAAATTACAGTCCTCTCCTAATTTACTAGTAGCCTCCCCCTATAAACTGCATCCTGCCCCTGGATTTGACATCGATCCACGGTCAGGAATCATCCCACCTCTACTGTGAGGCTCAGATTTCTGGGGTGGACTAAACAATAAAAACCCATCTTTTCAAGGATAGGTTAGGGGTATTTCAAAGAACTAATGTCAAAAAAATTTAAAAACGCTCATTTAACTAATTCACAATACCACGAGTACCTAGTCCGAACTGTTAATGTGGTGCAGGGGGTTGCACCACATTAACAGTAGTACCACATCATCAAGAATCAAGGGTGTTAGCGGTAATGTGAAATTCACATCTTTTTTCAGCTTTAGCAGTGGCGTTAGATTAGCATCTTTTGACATTTAATTTACATGTTAGTTAAGAAGTTGAACTTTCTTTAAATAGGAGAATAAAAGTCATGTAGGACTCTCTCTAGTTTGTTATTATAATAGGAATAATCCATGTTTGAAGGTATGATTGAAGACAATATAGTAAATCCATTAAACATGAAGATAGTATAATTTAGTGACAGTAACTTGTGGAATTAATATACCTTCATCTTCATACAGTCGTTATGCACAAGGGCAAGGTGTACAAGTCCCACGGTGAAGATATATCTGCCAAATGTAAAACTCCAGGTGAAGATAAATCTTTCCCGTTTGAATACAAATCAGATTAGAAATTTCTTGACGTAAAATTTCTGGGCTATTCCTGTTGGAGTACTTGACCTGAACGGATTTATGTAGATTACAGAAATTTCATGAGATTAGTAAAACTTTATTAGACTTGAAAGATAAGAAAGAAAAACCAAACCCTCTCTGAAAGCATCATCATAATCATTATTTAATATAACAATGTTAAAGATGCTCATTAAAACTAGAGACAGCTTTTACATTTTCTTTTTCTCTATCTGTGAGCTTTGGGACTTCTGGGGAGGAACAAGAAATTTAAGATTGTAGAGATAAAAACTTATTCGAGGAGCTCACTTAAGAGCTTAAGCTCCTCGAGATGGTATCAAAGTCCAATGTTTTAAAAACCTTGGTACTGGAATTGCTTTGGCCACCAACGGATTTCCATTTGTGGTTCAATCATTTGGTCCAAATTGATGGTCTGTTGCAATTTAAAAAAAAATAAAAGCAGCTAAAAACCATTATTCTGACAGATGGTTCAATGGGTTATTAATCAAGTGATGGAGGCCCATCTCACCCCTAGGGGCGGCATCTCCTAGGATAAGGTTAAGTCAAGATAAAGTTCAAGATTATCAAGAAATCAAGACTTAACCCAAGACTCCAAGACTTATCAAGGATCCAAGACTTATCAAGAATTCAAGATTCATCAAGAATTCAAGAGTTCAAGACTCATCAAGATTTTCAAGAATTCAAGATAATCCAAGATTCATGCATCAAGGGAGATCGGACGGTGGAGATCAAACCAAGAAGAGTTCGATCCTATCATATTAGATATTTGGATCTATCCTAGTTGTTATTTCCTAGTTCTTTTACAATTTCCAAATGTATTATAAATACTGCTATTTTCCCAGAATTATTCATCAATTCATACTTCATATTCTCAGAATTTCTTCGAGTCTCTTCTTTGAATTTTCGCCACCTTTTCTCTCTCCTAGAGAATTCGGTGTTCTTCGCTAGATGCTAGTGATCGCCCGGTGCTTGCATAGCCAGCTCCGGTTTCCATTGCTTCCACGCTGCGTCAGGTGGTATTAGAGCAGGGAGTTCGCCCAGTCATGGCCAACCCAGACGGTAGCAGTCGCAACCCACCCCGTGACAGAGATCAGGGGTTTCCAGCTGTTTGGAGAGCAATCGAAGAGTAGCGCATAGCCACACGTAACATCGAGCAGCAGTTGGCAGAGATGGCTGAACAACTGCGAACCTTGTTACGGGAGGTTGCTCCACGGAACTGGGAACATCCACAACAAATCGAGGGAGACGACCACGACAGACCACCCGTCCATACTGCGTTTCGACGACCAGTCCTGGACGACGACAATGATGATGATTTAGAATTTTGTGGTGCTCCAATTCTTCCCGGCAATGACAGAAATGGCAGAAATTGGCATAACCAAGGTAATTTCAATCTGCGTAGAAATAATGATGAATTCAAACTTAAAGTAGATATTCCTACCTTTAGTGGAGATCTTGGCATAGAGGGACTTCTGGATTGGATCACAAAAGTCGATAGATTCTTTGATTACATGGAAATACCGGAAGAACGAAGGGTAAAACTGGTAGCTTTCTGATTAAAGGGAGGCGCATCTGTTTGGTGGGAACGGATGAGAGAGACCCGGATCAAAGAAGGAAGGGGTCCTGTTCGAACCTGGAGGCGCATGAAACAATTAATCAGAGGTAGATTTTTACCTCCTGATTATGAACAATATATGTTTGAATCTTACCAGCGGTGTGCGCAGGGTTCACGTAGTGTTAATGAGTACACATCAGAATTTTTAAGATTAATAGAAAGAAACCAGTTGTCTGAAAGTGATAACCAGCAGACAGCCCGTTATCTGAGCGGGTTAAGACCGTCCATCAGAGACAAAATTGGTGTACAAATGGTTCTTAGTGTGCAGGAAGCAAGGAACCTAGCCCTGAAAGCAGAATTAATGTTCCAAGACAAGGTTTGCAGTGATAATTACCGCCGGTACAGCGGGAGCGACAACAGACCAGCAACTGTCGATAGGAACAAATCAGTCCCGGCAGTACAACCCTCTCACCCGGCAAGCACAAGTAACGCCAGTAAGGCTACTACATGAGGACATACTCGAGGTAATCCTTCCAACCCTCCTAAACCCAGTAACCCTTATGCAAGGCCTGCTCCTATTAAATGTTTTAAATGTAATGAGGTTGGACATAGATCCAGTGAGTGTCCCAAGAGGAAGACAGTTAATATGGTAGAAAGGGAGGAGGAAGAAGATATTGAGGAGGAAGTATATTGTGAACCTGATGGGGAGGATGAAGAGGGTCCATATGAACATGAGGAGTATACTTGTGTGGTAAGAAAATTAATGTTGTCCTCGAAAAATAAGGATACTTCTCAAAGGCACCGATTATTTCGTACCAGATGTACTGTCAAAGGAAAATTATTTAATTTAATTATTGATAGTGACAGTCAGGAAAATATTATTTGCAGGGATGTCATCCAACAATTACAGCTGATTCCTGAAAAAYATCCCAACCCATACACAATTGGGTGGATCAAGGAAGGAGGCGGTGTACGAGTGGAAGAACGCTGCAAGGTACCTTTTTCAATTGGTAAGTACCATGACGAAATATATTGTG